GGAATTCTGGGAGTTGAAGTCCACACGTCTTAAAGCGGCCAAGGTTTGAAAAACGCTGGTGTAAACCTTCAGGAAGGGTCTGGCCAAAGCAACCAAGGTTTTCATGACTCAGTAACTTAATGATTTAAGAAACGTAGGACAGTGCGAGTGAGGTGTTCCCTGCCTGGCACCTTCAAGATGTGCTGGACTATAACGCCCAGCCTGGAGGACTTGCTATGGTCCAACAGGCTGGGGGAAGATGGCCATTAACAGGTGAGCATCTTCTTGATCAGATGCAGATTTATGCCATCATATGTTTCTTGGGCTCTTCCTCACGGCAGCCTTAATCTGCTTGTCTGCAGTGCTAAACTAGCTGGGAATGAACCTAAGAAACCGCTGTTTGGATTTTGATCTGTTCTTCCGCAGAGGCAACGATGCTAGCCGGGTCTTCTTTCCATATGGCATTTATCGGGGGCCCGGTTGGTGGGTCCCTCTGCTTCTTTTCTCCCACACCCCCTTGCTGGAAGAGCAAGCCCTTGTTGTGTTCCTTTGGGTGGATGTTCAAGGCCGTGGGGTTTCCACGACTCCCCCCCAGCTTGAGACTTTTGAACTTGTCTGTCCCATCCAGCACATCCCAGATGAGCATTTCACTGGTGCGCCGGGGAGACTTTGACCAGAGTTGCACGCAGGGCTGGATTAAGGCCAACTAATGCCCTAAGCACAGCCGAGAGTGGTGCCCCTCGACAGAAGCACAGCTCTTATGCCATGAGACAGAAACCTATCTGACGACACCTCCAAACCAAACTTTTAAATTTTAATCACTCACCATGCCAAAAAAAAGTTTTATTTACAGTGCAGGTTAAAGTTGAACATGGCAGATAAGGACAATTACAAAAGAATTGACTAAAGTCTAGTGTGATGGTGAAAGAGTTATGGGCGTGATAGGTAGGGGAAAAAACTGTGGTGCCCCCCTTCTGTTGGTACCCTAGGCACATGCTTATTCGCTTAACGGTTAATCCAGGGCTGGTTGTGCTGGTCCACTGATCCACCCAAAGTGTATTTGGGTCCACCATTGTATATGGCTATTTGGGGAAAGAAGCTTACCAGTCTTACAGAAAACAGCTTTGTAGCTGTGAGGGCAAGATATGGAATAATAGTACCGGAAGCAGATTCCAATCAAATGTTAACATTATTGAGTTTACGTCCCTGGTTCCAGCTTCCGACTCAGGGCAGGGATCCATTTTAAAGCACCCTTGATCCATGGCTGGTTTCTGGCCTCCATTTGAACAGACCCTACTGATTCATACGGTAAGGAAAAACTGTGATCGTGGAATTAATATTCCAGAGCCTGGACAGCCATCTCTATGAGATTTTTTTCCTCCTAATGTGGATTCCTGCACCGAGCAGAGGTTTGATCTCAGTAGCATAAGAGGCCCTTTGCAGTTTCTAATTGTATGAAGTACTGAATGCACTCTATGGCATATATTCTTTCATCATATGAAGAAACACTCATTGTGTTTGGATAATTACAGAATTAAACTATCTTATGTGGTTAGCTCAGGGTTCCATAGTTGGTGTGAACCTAGACAATTAGGTTGAGTAAACCCAGCCGGTTCACCTCCCACACAAAGTCATACAGTAGTGTGATTTGTTCAGTATATTGTTTTGGTTTAGGATTAAGTTATATAGTCAGCATTCGATAAGACAGACTTCTAAACATGCAGAGAATGTTTATGCAACTAATGTAAATCATTATTAAGGCTTCCCTCCGAACAACTCTTAACATTCCAGCCCAAGTTTGAGGCATAATAATTGTCAATAATAGTCATAAATGAAACAAGGACAACAAAAATCTATTTAATGTACCATAAAATAGTTTATTTTAGCATTACACTTTACACCTATGGCTTTACAATTCATTTTGTTCATTTGTTTTTTCCAAACTTCATGTATTTCAAGGTTGGGTTGGACATAATTTTGAATAAAGGATTTAGCCCTTGCATATTTAATTCTGTAATAAATAAATAAGCAGCACAAGGGGGAAGGTAGATTCAGAGCCACAGTCTGTGCAATGGAGAGGGGCTTTGATTTCCCCCCCAGTCCCAGTCCAATGAGGAGGGGGAGTCTCTTTAGTGTACCATGCAATGAGAGGTTTCCTCCCATAGGTACATTTCAAAAATAAATATTTCTTTGACCATAAACAGCCAAGCTGTTAGTCTTAGTCTTTACGTTTAACTAGTATTTGGATGGATTTTTTTTTAAAATGTTATCTCTCATTATCCTAACATTTAAGGCTGCAATTGTATACACAATTAGCTAGAAATACATGTCACTTGAATTCAGAAGTTCTATTTCTGAATAAACTTAAAGAAGATTGCACTGGAAAAGATATATGATTTTTTTCTGCATTCAAAGTATGCATTCAACGCATATCTAGAGATATACATAGTCTCCAGCAATAAAACAAGGATGCTGCTAAACCAAATATGCAGCTTGGTTTGTATTCCATACAGTTTTGGGGATATTTTAAAACACCCTCTAAGGATTTAAAAAAGTCAGCAATACTTACAGATGTACAATGTGTACAGATGTACTATGTATAGCTGTGTGGCTACGTTGGTTTGAGATAGGAATTGTAAGCTTCTCGCACCTAGACGGCACCACATCAGAAAAGTTTGGTCTAAGCATACAGTACTTCTGTGCATACACACTATCTTCTCCCCCACACAATCACACCTCCTATGTTAAATATATGGGGGAGGGAGGG